TTTTTTTTTTTTTTAAACAGGGCCTTGTGGACCGGGCTCCTTCTATTCTGGGGAGCGTCAGTCCGGTTCCTATTCCCCCGGCAAGTCAAAATACATTACAGCAATTACCCATCACATACGCTTCCTTCCGTCAGGCCGAAGGACCCCTGAGCAGCATTGATTGCTCCACTACGGGAGGATTGACTGTCAGCTTGCCTTGTCCCTCTCTTTCCTCTCAGATCCGGAATCCAGATCTGTCAAATAAAGCAATGAATCCTAGAAAGAACCCATCTGTTGGCCTTACCCAACCTGGTCCGTTCCATAAGCCACTTCGCCCCCCCCTTTGGGCGGTCAGTCGTTATCATTGGACTGTCAGCTTGCCTTGTCCCACTTTTCCTCTCAGATCCGAAATCCAGATCTGTCAGATCAAGCAATAGACCCTAGAAAGATCACACCCGTTTGCCTTTACCCCACCTGGTCCTTCCCAAAAGTCACTTCGCCCCCCCTTTGGACGGTCAACGGTTGACGATGGGACCTACACCCTCAGTCTGCAGTCTTATCATCAAAATYGTCCAAATTAGGTCATGGCAGGTGTTAATAAGCTTCCAGATCTCTGAGATGGGATCCTCCTTGGCGAYCCCTGTAGATGCTCCAGTGTTGTCAGGCTTGAGCTCCTTTTCCACGTCTTCTGTACCCCCTGGGACATGTTTGACCTCTTGCAGCCTAAGGGATGCTTAAACCTTCCGGCGACGTTGAATTTTATATCTCTTCATAAGTTCATTTTTTAATTTTTATTTTTTGACATTTCAGCTGAGTACGGATCCGGGCCGCCCGGTCGACCAGCGCCTGCCCGGGGGAGGTCCCGGGCGGCCTGGCCGGGCGGGCGGCCCGGTTGGGGGCCGGGCACCCCCAGCACACCTTGTCGGGGGGGGGGTTCAGACCCCGAATCGCCGTCAGCTGGGTCCCCAGGGCCTACCGGGTCCAACAAGGCCTGAAAATAGGCGAGTCGGGCCCGTGAGGCCAGCTTTTTTTTTTTGAAATTGTGACGGCCCTCCGGCCGTCGATCATCCATGATCGAGGGCCGTTTGATGTTTGGAGGGAAAACATCGACCCGTTTGAGCAGCCGACTGGCTGCCGCGGCCTACATCGGCTGTCCAAACGGGGCCTTGCTCTTCCCCCGCCGGCGCAGTTCGTGGTTCAGCCGCCCGTCGTCATGGAGCTGCCCGTAGCCATCGCCTGGGAGCTTCACTCCCCCGTCGCCGTGGACCCGCTCGTCGCCCGTCGCCCGTCGCCAGTGTCTTGGAGTCGCCAGCGCCGTGGAGCCGCCCGTCGCCCGTCGCCGTGGAGCCGCCCGTCCCCCTCTCATCATCTTCTTCTTCTTCTTCTTCTTCTTCTTCTTCTTCTTCTTCTTCTTCTTCTTCTTCTTCTTCTTTTTCTTCTTCTTCTTCTTCTTCTTCTTCTTCTTCTTC